TGCTCCTAATTCCATGCAATGTATTTTTCATGATAGATAGTGCATTTTTCATTCATCGAAGTTTAGTTTACTATCTCACTTTCTTCCACTTCTTTCGTTGCATTATATTTTCTGTAATTTCTTGTTCTCCTGGTTTTGGGCCTTATTTTTCTGCTGCTTTGTATGACTGGCAGTTTTTGTTTTTTGTTTTTTGATTGGCAGTTTTTGACTGCATGCTGGACACTGAGTTTTATCGGTGTTAGATTTTGTGGTTTCCTTTAAATATATTTGGGCTTTGTTCTACAACATGTTTAAGACACTTGGAATTTTTTTTTTTTTTGAGACGGAGTTTTGCTCTTGTTACCCAGGCTGGAGTGCAATGGCGCGATCTCGGCTCACCGCAACCTCCACCTCCTGGGTTCAGGCAATTCTCCTGCCTCAGCCTCCTGAGTAGCTGGGATTACAGGCACGCGCCACCAGGCCCAGCTGATTTTTTGTATTTTTAGTAGAGACAGGGTTTCACCATGTTGACCAGGATGGTCTCGATCTCTTGACCTCGTGATCCACCCACCTCGGCCTCCCAAAGTGCTGGGATTACAGGCGTGAGCCACCGCGCCTGGTGACACTTGGAATTTTTAAGCATTGCTAGGGTGGGTCGGGGCAGCCTGGGACTGTGAAGACAGACCTTGTTGTGAGGGCTTGACTCATGTCCCTGTATTAAGGGGTCATTCCCCTCTCCCGGTGGACTCTCTGGCATTTTGACAATTGTTTTACCTTCTCCTTTCACTAGTTCCCACTAGTGATCCAGTGGAAAAGTCCCACTGGTTTTCTCACATGAGAGCATCAGTGCTCAGAAAAAGTCTTCAGGAGACTTTGTGTAAATTTATCACAAGGTCAGTGTTGTGGAATGCCCCTTTTTAATCATAGTTTATTTCTTTTGTCTATTTTAAAATGGTGAATTCTTGCTTTCTATCAGGTGATAATGATTTCATAATTGCTGTGGGGCTCTTAATTCCAGCCATCTTTCTTCATTTCTCCCACTCTAGCAGCATCTTTTAATTGGGCTTAGATTCTTGTGTGTGCTGATTTTTAAGATGTACTTAAAGTTCCTTTGTATTTCCTAGTGTTTATGCTTATTTTTCTTTGTTTCAAATATTTTTGCTCTTTGTTAGAGCCAGAATAAAGGACATGTGTGTTGTATACTTCATCTTTTAAGGTAGTTCGTTTTGAAAATAACCTAATTTTCAGTAAGAATCTTTGTAATAACTTGGCTAGGCATGGTGGCTCATGCTTGTAATCCCAGCACTTTGCGAGGCCGAGGCAGGTGGATTATGAGGTCAGGAGATCAACACTATCCTGGCCAACATGGTGAAACCCCATCTCCACTAAAAATAGAAAAATTAGCCAGAGCCAGGCGTGGTGGCACCACCTGTAGGCCCAGCTATTCGGGAGGCTGAGGCAGGAGAATTGCTTGAACCCTGGAGGCGGAGGCTGCAGTGAGCTGAGATCAGGCCACTGCATTCCAGCCTGGAAGACAGAGCCAGACTTCATGTAAAATAAATAAATAAATAAATAAATCTTTATAATAACTTCTTTTTCTTGTTAGTTCTGAATTGACTTAGTAAGCCATGTACTAGTGTAGAGTTGAAGGCAATTGTATTAACTATCTTTCTGTAGCTTAACTTTTTTCATGTTAAAAGTAATGATTGTTATAAAAACAATACAATAAACCATGAATGTTAGAAAATGTAGGTAACCATTTCTAATTAGAAAATGAAATTTAAAATGTCACTTTTCTACCATTCAGAGATTGCTGCCATTAACATGTATTGTTTAGCCTTTTCTTTCTGTATGTTTATTGTTCTTACCCTGAGATTGTATTGATTAGCTATTTTATCACTTGCTTTTTTCATTTTTCTCTGTCTTGTCACGTATTACATGTTCATCTTATTTAATACCCAGTTCATACTCAGATTTCTTCGGTTTTACCAGGACGTTTTTTACACTTGGTTTGTGTAAGCTGGGATTCATTGTGGACCGTTAAACCTAGTGGTCGGGTTTGCAGTGCTTTCCCTGACTGTTGGCCACACCAGCCTCTTGTCCTGCAGAGATGCCGCTCCTTCTAGATCTGTCTAGCACTTCCTCGTAGTGTTGTTTTAGCTTAGTTCCCTGTCTCCGAGCTTCTTTTAAATGAGATGTTCTACTGAAAGGCCCCGTTGATTCAAGTGAAACATTTTGGGTTAGAATATATAATATATGATGTTCTGTGCTTCTTGTCACTGCAGGGACTCCAGTCATTTTGTTGCTTCACTACAGTAGACGGCAGTCTGGTCTTTGTGTGCATTACATTCTTTTTGTGGACTAAAATGTAATGTGTTTAACACCCCTTGAGAACCCTGGTCCTAGGAGGTAGTTTTATTGGGGGCTTTGCTGTGAATGAGGTCTTTCTGAATGTCTGCTAACAATCACTTGTAGATTGTTAGCAGACATTCTTCTGTAAACTCTTGTTTTACTCAGCAGTTGGGACTGTTTGGCTTCTCTGAAATACAGTGCCTTTGGGAAAGGCCAGATAGTTTTCTCCTTTCTTTTGAGCTATCACTTTTCAAAGTGAGCAGTTAGTTAACCTTTCCAAGTGGTGATTCCTGAAATTCATTTTTTTCTGAGTTTCTTGGTATTTCTGTGACTCTCCTGTGACTTCGTGTGTTAGGGTTTCTATAGCTATTTGTCTTTTTGGTGCTCAAATGTTATAACATTCTGGTGCTCCTGGTGCTTTCGTCATGACTCCTCCACTAAAGGGCCTGTGAGGATGGGCCCATGCTTTGAGAATTTGTCTCATTTGTCTTTGAACATTTGTACTTGTACTTTTCTGTGGGTTCTGAAGTTGGCGTCATGAGCTAATTCTGAATGCACTGTCACCTCTCAGGACTGTCCACACCATGAGATTATGGACTCGATACCTCTTTATCCTCACTTCTTAATACAGTTTTAAGCGAGTCAGCTGTGCTGCACAGGTAAAGCTTCTACATGCGTTGGGAAGTAGCTGAGAGCAAAACGAGTAGATTTTTACTTCTTTCAACTAAGAGAAAAAAAAGTAATCTTGGGCCACACGGACGTTAAAATTTTAACGAGAAATGGAAAATGTTTTTCTTGTACACCTTCTCACTTAGTGTCCGATTTTCACTTTTTAAAACAGTTTTATTTAAAACCCTCTGCTGCCCTACACTTTATCAGCATTCTGCCCCAGGCCTTGTTGTTTCTCTCTCCTGTCCCCTCCCTGACATATTGGACCCCCCTCCCTCCCCCCTCCCCCCACCTCCCACATCATGCTCAGGTCAGGCAGACACAGTTGGAACTCTCTGCTTTATACTCCTTTACTTCACTGTTATTATTCATAGCACTTATCATCCATGAAAGACAGTAATTTCTTGTGAAAAAATTTTTAAAAAAATATCTGTGTTTCTCAGCTGTGAAACTCTGTGAGGTTGGGATCCCATCTGGCCCCAGAGCCCAAAAGGAAATATTTGAGGGTTGAGTTAGTGATGATTACAAAAGGATGAGGTAGATTACTGTTCTGTGGACCTTGTAATAATTTTGTCTTAGGCCATTTTACCTGCATGCAAGGTGGAGGTCTTCCTTCTACCTTTCCTCCGTTCCCCACCTGTTGCCAACAGGCTTTGGAAGTTAGCTGTTGAACCCCTGCTCTGAGGATGCTGCTGCTGTGGGAGGTCTTGGCTCATGCATTTCTGGCCTCTGGACCCCTTTCCAGGACCTACCTGTTCCTCTTCTCTCCGTGTTTACCTGCCCCTGAGAGTCTCTAATATGCACTGTTTCTCACACTACTGCCTCTTTCAGCTGATTGTGAGGTTTTCCTTAACACCCTTGTCTACACTATAGGTCTTTTGCATAATTTTCTTAATGTAGCAAGTATAACTTTTTGAGTGAAAAATGATTGATTCTGAGAAAAAACCCTCTACACATTCTAGATCTTAATTGCTTTGAAAAACATTTGAAGAGTAAGATAAAAATATACTTTGCTTTCATTCCCTAAGACAAATGGATTGAACAGTAGTGGTAAGGTATTGTTTAAAAAGAGTGTGTTCAAGATAAAGATTCTTTTACTTTGATGTATTTTTTTGTTTCTTTATATGTACTCATGAAGCTACATGGGTTTTGGAATCCTTATGTTTAGGCTTTGCATACATATAAAGGATGTAGATAATTACTTGTTGGGAGGTCTCCTCTTTATTTCTTAGGAATCTGTAATTTTAACTTGGATTATTTCAACCTTTTCCTCAGTTCTCATATTAAAGGGTATTCTGTCAAAACTTGCTGAGAGCTTTATAGTCTGTCTTTTGTATCCAGGGGTTCTGCATCTGTTGATTCAACCAACTGTGGGTCAAAAATATTTGGGGGAGAAAATGGATGGTTGCATCTGTACTGAACGTCTTCAGACTTGTTTTCTTGTCATTATTCTCTAAACAAAGTAAGTAGGAAGATGTGCATAGGTTACATGCAAATAACTACATCATTTAATCTAAGAGATTTGAGCAGCCTTGGATTTGGTGGTGCCTGCATATGGTCCTGGAACCAATCCCCCATGGATACTGAGGGATGACCATACTTTCATTTCTCTTTTCCCATGTAGATTTCTTAGGTACCAAGTAATCTCATAAGTTGTTTTTTTTTTTTTTTAGACAGAGTATTGCTCTGTCTCCCAGGCTGGAGTGCAGCTCACTGCAACCTCTACCTCTCGGGTTCAAGCAATTCTGCTGTCTCAGTGGATCACCACGCCCAGCTAATTTTTGTATTTTTTAGTAGAGATGGAGTGTTACCATGTTGGCCAGGCTGGTCTCAACCTCCTGGCCTCAAGTGATCCACCCTTTTCAGCCTCCCAAAGTGCTGGGATTACAAGTGTGAGCCACTGTGCCTGGCTTCGTAATCTCATCAGGTTCTTATTAAATATTGCTTTATCTTCTGAATTTACATAATGATCTTTCTCTTTTTTTCTCCCTTTTTAAAAGGACCTTAAAGGCTTTGATCCGGGAGAGAAATACTTTTATAACACGTCATGGGGAGATGTTTCTCTCTGGGAACCTTCTGGAAAGAAACTGGTATGTATTTTTTTGTACTTGGTTTTCATATTTCCTTAAAAGTGAGGAATGAATGTAATTGTGGTCTAAAGAACATCACATGTATTGGGGTGTCCTAGTGAGTGAATGAGGAGGAGGCATAATGTAGCCTTTCAGGGAAGTGGCAAGAAACCAAGTCCAGTATGTGGTCAGGCAGGGTTACTGATGCCCTGAGAGTTTTCTGTGTAGTACAGAGTTGATAACAGTGATATGGTGAAACTGTTGTTTGTCCTTGATTATAAGATGGCGTTGCTGTAAGAAGGACGTTTGATTTAATAACTGTTCTGAGTAAAACAAAATGCCACTACATTAAGTGCATACAGTACATCCTCATTTCAGAAACTAAAGTAAAAATGTAGACTTTTGAATCAAGGAACAACATTTTAAGTAATTAGAAACTTCAAACTTTTAAGCAAATTCAGGCTAAAACATGAGCCATACTGCTAAGTTCTCATTAAAGTGTTTCTGGGACAACTTTTCTACCAGTTGTTAGCACCTTCCTTGGTATCAAACTCAGCTCATCTCAGACTTGATTTGGCTGTTCCCTCTCACCAGCTTCTGTTGTCAAAGTCATGCTGGCCTTGGGAATTTGTACTTTAAAATATTTCTGTAATTAGTTGTCAGAATTTTTTTTTTTTTTTTGGTGGGGGCACAGGATCTTGCTATCACCTGGGCTAGAGTGCAGTGGTGTAATCTTAGCTCACTGTAGCCTCAACTTCTTGGGTTCAAAGTGTCCTTCCACTTCAGCTCCTGAGTAGCTGAGACTACAAGTGCATGCCGCCATGACCAGCTAATTTTTTTAATTTTTATTTTTTGTAGAGGTGGGATCTCACTGTGTTGCTCAGGCTGTGCTTTGTCAGAATTTTCTGTAAAGATATTTTTGTAAGCCACTTTCCTTGAGTCCCGTTTTTCAGTTTCTGCCCCAACACTCTCCTCTCTAGCATGAGATGCAAGATTCCTTGAAACCACTGTGATTTAGTTTTCCTCCTGAGCATAGCTTGCGTCTGCTACAGGATGCCTCATTTAGCTGATCTTGACTTCATGAATCTTAAGCCTCATTGTTTTTGTTATCCAAATTCTTAAAATACCTTGTAATGTAATTCGCAGTATGTATAAAATTACATACTTTTCATTAAGAAACATTTTTTGAAATCCTGCTGCAAAGCAGCTAACAATTTTTGAGTGCTTGGTACAAAGAGGTAACGCTAGGATTCTTTTCCTCAAATAGTTTATGTTCTTGTTGGAGTGAATAGGGCCTTAGGCATAAATAATTTGAATAACAAAGTTATTAATAACAGATAGATAATAGAAATATTAGAATAATAGAAATAGATAATATAAATAACAGAATAAATAACAAAGGTAAATAACAATTTGAAATAATAGAAATTGAATGTATTAGATACCACAGTCAGAGTAAAGTAAAAGCACTGTTGCCTGGAGTGATGGAGACTGTGGTATCTGCTAGTTTTAGGGTCGTCTTTCCTAACTGGTCTTCCTGCTTTAATTTCTCCCTGTGGACATAGGACTTAGGAACAGAGACATTTAGGGAGACACAGCAGGAAAATTGTGTAATCATGTTGGATTATGAGGTTCACACTACAGTGAGATCCTCAAGAGCTCATAGGAACAAGTGAGAGTTTGAGGTTTTGAGGGCAGAAAGGCTTGCTTAGGTGACTATGGGACTTCCTTACCATGGGAGTCTAGAGGAGCAACATGCAGGTGTGGTGGAGAGATTATACACTAGTCAGCAATCATTGTTTTCTGACAGCAAAGAACTATGACTCCACCACTTCTCGTTAATTATGTCTTCTTCCTCTATTACCAGTGAACTAATGTCTCACACTCAAGATTGTTTATGATTAGTCACTGTATTAGGCCATTTTTGTGTTGCTATAAAGAAATACCTGAAGATGAGTAATCTGTAAAGAAAAGAGGTTTAATGAGGACATGGTTCTGCTGGCTGTACCAACATGGCACCAACATCTGCTCTGCTTCTGGTAGGTTCTTCAGGAAGCTAAAATCATGGTGTAAGCTGAAGCAGGAGCAGGGAGTTACATGATGAGAACAGGAGCAAGAGAAGTGGGAGGTACTAAAAAACCAAGTCTTGGGTGAAACTAAGTTATACTTCTCAGAGTATGAGAACTGTGAGAGCTCAAGGAGTGATAACTCACTCATCACCAAGGGGATGATGCTAAACCATTCTTCAGGGAAGTACCCCCATGATCCAGTTATTTCCCACCAGGCCCCACCTCCAACATGGGGAATCACATTTCCCAGTGAGATTTGGAGAGGACAAACATCCAAACCATAACAGTCACTGTCCTAGAACTTTCACATGCAGGCTTTTTATGTGAACATGTGCTTCCATTTCTCTTGGGTAAATGCCTTGGAATGGGATTGCTGGGTGGTATCGTAAGTGAATATATATTTATCTATATAAATGAACTGCCAAACCATTTTCCAAAGTGATTGTACCATTTTATTAATACTTTCCTACCAGCAGTGTGAGAGCTTATTTTAATAGATGATCCTTTGGTTTAATTTGCATTTCACTGGTGCCTAATGATGTTGAGCATGTTTTCATTGTTTTTTGACATCTAGATAGCTTCTTTGGTAAAATGTTCAATTTTTTTGCCCCTTTAAAAAAAATTTGGGTCTTTTGCTTTCTAGTTTGTTTTTATATTGAGATTTGAGCAGGCCTACAACAAATATGATAGAGATAAATCCTTTATTAGATAGGTGGTTTGCAATACTGTCTTTCAAAGAGGAAAAACTTTTTTATTTTCATGAAATACAGTTTATCATTCTTTTGTAGACCATGTTTTTAGTGTCACGTTTAAGAAATATCTGCCTAACCCAAACAGTTATTCAACACTGACAGATATTAACATGCCGTTGTCAATAATTTCTGCCAGTTCTTTCATTGCATATAGTTTTCTTGGAGCACACAGTTTTTCAGTACTATATTTCATTGAGTATAAAACTCACCAGTTTTAATGAACCACTCATAAAACCAAGTGAAACTTAAACTATGTTGCAATATGAACGATCAGTTGAAAGGAACTTCCAGATTTCAGAGATGTTAAAATATGAAAAAATGTGTCTCTTAGAATCAGTGAAATAGGTTTTTATTTTAGTCTATGTGGTCTGGTGTTGTAGCTATTGTCCTAGGCTTATTATATATCCTACCAGAAGTACTAGAACCTAAGATTTTGTGAACTGCTGATAAGACAGTAATGTGTTTGGATAATTTTTCTGATCTGTGACCCAAGAGGAAAAGCTACATGAATAGGGAAGAGATAGGATGGCAAAATCTTGAAGAGGCCGGGGGTGGCGGCTCATACCTGCAATCCCAGCACTTTGGGTGGCAAAGTTGGGCAGATCACTTGAGATCGGGAGTTCGGGACCAGCCTTGGCCAACATGGTGAAACCCCACCTCTACTAAAAATACAAAAATTAGCTAGGTGTGGTGGCCCATGCCTGTAGTTCCAGTTACTTGAGAGGCTGAGGCAGGAGAATCGCTTGAACCCGGGAAGTGTAGGTTGCAATGAGCCAAGATCACGCCACTGCACTCCAGCCTGAGTGACAGAGTGGAAAAAAAAATGTAGAATGGGAGTGTGTGAGTGATAATGAGCACACAGATTTAGGAAGGGATGAGAATTAACCCTTGATCACTGTGATGGTGCACAGCCAACTCTTGGGCCTTAGATGAAGCTAGGTCTTAGCTTCCTAGTTTGTGGAACTGGGGTGCAGGTGTTTTGTGGTTCACCAGCTCTGGGTTCTCAAGACTCTGTCATGACACCAAAGACTTCAGTGTGCTCTCAAGTTATTGCAAACCAGCAAGTCTTACCGGATGTTAGAACAGATTTGTACCCGGTTGTATGAATGTCTGTTTTTAGACCCTGAACTTGTTAAATTCCCTGAAATGTGCCTTAAATAGAAATTCCATATGGTCAGTGTTGCATTCTGTGGCCCTACCCTTATCTTAGGGTCATCCATAGTGTGAGTTTAGGCTTAGTCAGACTTTCTTTACTGTTTATCAGATAGTTTATTGGGTACCTGCATGGGCCAAACACTGTCCATTTCACTCCTACCTTCTCTAGAAATGGGGGAAATAAAAAGATAGTAATGATGGGTTTAACAGTTTGAAAGCTAGGCTAGTTGTAGATAAATTCCAGAGGTTTTAGAATTTGGAGCAAAAAGAACATTGGAATTAAGAGAAATGGGATGAGGGGGAGAAAATAACTTTTTGTTGTAGAAAATTAATGAAACTTTTAAGATTAATGCTGTTATTAATAATTCAAAATTCAGGGCTAAATAATTATATTTGTGGTTTTAGTAGATGACTTAAAACAGGGGTCAGCAAGCTATGAGTTGTAGGCCAAATCCTATATTTGTATGAATTAACCCATGAGCTGTGTAGCCTATGAGCAAGGAATAGTTGTTGGGCTTTTAAATGTTTAAGAAAAAAATGACAATACTATTTTGTGACATGTGGAAAGTATATGAAATTCAAATTGGTGTCTATAAATAAGGTTTTATTGGAACATAAATTAAAAATTATTTTGGGGACTTTTGTACAACAATGTCAATGCTGAGTACTTTCCACAGAGACTGTACTGTATGGCCCACAGTCCTGACATATTCAGTCTCTGGCCCTTCACAGAAAAAGCTTGCCAATCCCTGGGTTAGAAACACTAAGTCAGGTTAAATGCCTAGCACATTAGAAGAAAAGGGATCAAATCCTCAGAGACTGTGGAAGGTTGACATCTGACAGTTTATTCAACTATGCTTAAGACTTTCATTTCTTTTAACAGAGATATCGAACAAAGCCATACTGTTGTGGCCTCTGTAAATACTCTACAAAGGTGCTTACTTCATTCAAAAATCATTTACATCGCTACCATGAAGATGAAATTGACCAAGAGCTAGTGATCCCTTGCCCAAACTGTGTATTTGCATCTCAGCCCAAAGTTGTGGGAAGGCACTTCAGAATGTTCCATGCGCCTGTCCGGAAAGTCCAGAACTACACAGTGAACATTTTAGGTGAAACTAAGTCATCTAGGAGTGATGTGATAAGTTTCACATGTCTAAAATGTAACTTTTCAAACACTTTGTACTACAGCATGAAGAAGCATGTGCTGGTCGCCCATTTTCACTACTTAATTAACTCCTACTTTGGCCTGCGAACTGAGGAAATGGGTGAGCAACCGAAAACTGATGATACTCTTTCTGTAGAGAAGATCCCACCACCTGACAAATACTACTGTAAAAAGTGCAACGCCAATGCCAGCAGCCAGGATGCATTAATGTATCACATTTTGACATCAGACATACACAGAGATTTGGAGAATAAGCTTAGATCTGTGATTTCAGAACATATTAAGAGGACTGGACTCTTGAAGCAAACACACATTGCTCCAAAACCAGCAGCACATTTGGCTGCAGCAGCAAATGGCAGTGCTCCAAGCACTCCAGCTCCGCCTCCTTGCTTTCATCTTGCTTTGCCACAGAACAGTCCAAGCCCAGCCTCCGGGCAGCCAGTGACTGTGGCCCAGGGTGCCCCTGGAAGCCTCACTCATTCCCCGCCTGCTGCTGGCCAATCTCACATGACCCTGGTCTCCAGTCCTCTGCCCGTGGGCCAGAACAGCCTCACCCTGCAGCCCCCAGCACCTCAGCCTGTCTTTCTTTCTCACGGGGTCCCACTTCATCAGCCTGTGAATCCTCCTGTGTTGCCCTTGAGTCAGCCAGTTGGACCTATCAATAAGTCTGTTGGAACTAGTGTCCTCCCCATAAATCAGACTGTCCGCCCTGGGGTTTTACCCCTTGCCCAGCCTGTGGGGCCCATAAACAGACCTGTTGGGCCTGGTGTTCTTCCTGTGAGTCCCTCTGTCCCCCCTGGGGTCCTGCAGGCTGTCTCACCAGGGGTGATTTCTGTGAGTCGGGCGGTCCCGTCTGGGGTCCTTCCTGCAGGCCAGATGACTCCTGCAGGGGTTATCCCTGGGCAGACAGCAACTTCTGGGGTTCTTCCTCCTGGCCAGATGGTCCAATCAGGGGTGCTCCCTGTTGGCCAGACAGCTCCATCACGGGTTCTTCCCCCTGGCCAGACAGCCCCATTGAGGGTTCTTGCTGCAGGCCAGGTGGTCCCATCTGGGCTTCTTTCTCCCAACCAGTCAGTTTCCTCCTCAGCTGTTGTGCCTGTAAACCAGGGTGTGAATTCTGGGGTTCTTCAGCTTAGTCAGCCTGTCATGTCAGGAGTTCTTCCTATGGGCCAGCCAGTGAGGCCTGGGGTTCTGCAACTCAACCAGACTGTCAGCACCAACATTCTGCCTGTGAACCAGCCAGTGAGACCTGGCGCTTCACAGAACACCGCTTTCCTAACATCAGGCTCTATTCTTAGACAGCTTATCCCTACAGGGAAACAAGTGAATGGGATTCCGACCTACACGCTGGCCCCCGTGTCTGTCACTCTGCCGGTTCCCCCTGGCGGCCTTGCAACTGTGGCTCCGCCCCAGATGCCCATCCAGCTCCTGCCGTCAGGCACCGCTGCACCAATGGCCAGTTCCATGCCTGGCATGCCCTCTCCTCCAGTGCTGGTGAATGCTGCTCAGAGTGTGTTTGTTCAGGCTTCCTCGTCTGCAGCAGACACAAACCAGGCGCTGAAACAGGCCAAGCAGTGGAAGACCTGCCCTGTCTGCAACGAGCTCTTTCCATCCAATGTCTACCAGGTCCACATGGAGGTGGCACATAAGCACAGCGAGTCCAAATCTGGTGAGAAACTTGAGCCTGAAAAACTGGCAGCATGTGCACCATTTCTAAAGTGGATGAGAGAGAAAACGGTGCGATGTCTGTCTTGTAAATGCTTGGTCTCTGAGGACGAGCTTATACACCACTTGCTGATGCATGGCTTGGGGTGCTTGTTCTGTCCATGTACCTTCCATGATATCAAAGGTCTTTCAGAGCACAGCAGGAATAGGCACTTGGGGAAGAAGAAGTTACCCATGGATTATAGCAACAGAGGTTTTCAGTTAGATGTTGACGCCAATGGCAACCTGCTCTTTCCCCACCTTGATTTCATTACCATATTGCCAAAGGAGAAGCTTGGGGAGCGGGAAGTCTACTTGGCAATCCTGGCTGGGATACACTCCAAGTCACTGGTGCCTGTGTATGTGAAGGTGAGGCCTCAGGCTGAGGGCACTCCTGGGAGCACTGGCAAGCGAGTGTCCACCTGCCCCTTTTGCTTTGGCCCCTTTGTGACAACTGAGGCCTACGAGCTGCATTTGAAGGAGAGGCACCACATCATGCCCACAGTCCACACGGTCCTGAAGTCTCCCGCCTTCAAGTGCATCCACTGCTGTGGGGTCTACACTGGAAACATGACCCTGGCTGCCATTGCTGTCCATTTGGTGCGCTGCAGAAGTGCTCCTAAGGACAGCAGCTCAGACCTTCAAGTCCAGCCAGATTTTATTCAGAACAGTGAACTACTTTTAGTCAATGGTGAAGTGATACATGATTCCAGTTTTTCTGTTAAGAGAAAACTGCCTGATGGCCACTTAGGGGCTGAAGACCAGAGGCACAGGGAGGAGCAGCCTCCCATCCTAAATGCTGATGCAGCCCCAGGTCCAGAAAAGATGACGAGTGTTGTGCCTTTTAAAAGACAAAGGAATGAAAGCAGAACCGAGGGACCGATTGTCAAGGATGAGGCTCTTCAGATTTTAGCATTAGACCCTAAAAAATATGAAGGCCGTTCTTATGAGGAAAAGAAACAATTTCTTAAAGATTATTTCCATAAGAAACCATATCCTAGTAAAAAGGAAATGGAACTGTTATCCTCACTCTTTTGGGTGTGGAAAATTGATGTGGCTTCATTTTTTGGAAAAAGAAGGTACATTTGCATGAAAGCAATAAAAAATCACAAGCCTTCTGTACTTTTAGGCTTTGATATGTCTGAACTTAAAAATGTTAAACACAGATTGAACTTTGAGTATGAACCATAAAACTTGTAAAAAAAAAAAAAAAGTAACTCTAAAGTAGTAGATAGATTTTCTTCAGTTGAAATTTCACAGTGTTTTCCTCACTGTGTTGGTGAATCAACCTCAGTGGTTGCTGTGCTGCTCTGCAGAGTTATTTCAGGTGCTGGAGAGACCCCTATTACCAGGAATCTAGTAGTTATTTCACATTTATTGTTTCCTGCAGTTTGATTTGTAACAGTTGTTTTCAGGTTTTTTTCTCTGTCGTGTAAATGAAATTTTTTGATATTTTATGCACGCCTTGTTTTCCCAGTAGTGTCAGTGTCATATGATAAGAAATTGAAATCTATAAATAATTTTTTTTTTCATTTAAGGAAATTTCAGCCTTTTTCAGAATACTTGATTTAACTGCAAGTGGAAGCATCAATCTCCTTCAGCTTTCTCTGTAGCAGCAGATGATACAGTGAGTGTTCAGAGATGTGGGTACAAATCCCTGTGATGTATAAGGCTCTTTGAGGATGCATTGCATTAACTTACACTGATTTCTTTGTCAAATCTTTGCTTATAGATTATAATTTTGCTCTATATTTTTTTAGGCTTGTCCTAATAGCTGCCTTTTTTTTCTTTTAACCGTAACTCATAGAAAATCAAATGTTTTTATTTGTTAAAAATAGACTGAATCTGACATCTGGTATGCTGGTATGTAGCTCATAAATTCAAGAGTTATTTTACAAAGTTATTCTGTAGATGCAGAAATATTTTTCAGTGTAGATTTTCCCCTTCTTTTGATATGCTAGTAAGTCATTTCTCCATTCAGAGGTAAAACAATAAATTTTTAGTGCCTTTAGAATAAACATTGAAAAAATACACCCAAAAACTCTTCTCCTAACCTAACTACTCATAAACTAGTGAAAGGGAAGGACTGTGATACTCAGGAATAAAATTATTGCCCCTGAGTATGGATATTAACTTCAATTGTAGCATAGATTTTCAGGGGACATGGCGAAGTTTGCAGACTGAGATCTAAGTCTCCATGGTTGGTACAGTAAGTCTTTGACCACGTTTTCTGAAGGTCATGTTTGGTAGGGAAATGGGCTTTTCTCTGTCTGGTTCAGGCAGGAAGCTGTGTCTGGGTGGATGAGATAGCATATTGTTAAAGAATCTCCATTGTTGTCACTGTCCTGTGGATGGTAAACCTCGTTTTTCCCCCACACGATATAAAAAAGACTTAAAGCACCAGAACCAGTCATGGAGACGAGCCAGTTTAGACCGTAAGTCATATTTCTGGTGATATACAGCAGAGGAATCCCTTTACTTTAGGTAGAAATATTTGGAGGATGTGACAGCCTCTCAGAAACATGATGTTACGATGTGGATTTTAAAAAATATAATACTTGCATGTAATTGCTATACTGTGCACATTTGAGGCAGTTGTGAAACTGGTCTGTGATTGTTGGTGTACTCTGTTGTAAATTCAAAGAGAGCTTGTTGAACTTTATTATTTTTTTTTACCTGTTGTTTTCAGAGTGTCTATTTTGAATTAAAGTTTGTTACACCATTGCAAATAGAACTGTTTAATTCTTTTAAAAGTTAAAACATTATTGTGAATCATAGGAATGACCTCAGTATGGGAATAGATACATTTATTTTCTGAAAAACATTACTTATCATTTGTGTGAAAATAAGAACGTAACCCTAAAATGCCTAATTACTGGGTCACAAAATAGGTGTGACTAGAGCGTCCTGATGAATCTATACTGATAGCACCCAAAGTGCCAAAGAAGGTGTGTAACTGGGGTGTCGGTGCTGCGAAGTTTCCTTCCCTGTGGCTGTGTTCAGAGTCAGTGTGGAGGAGGTGCCAGTGAGGAGGCAGCTGCCTCTGATGTGGTTTAATCCTCATTTTCTTTTGTTGTGTATTTAGGGTTTCCCAGCCTCCGCACTGCTGACGTTTTGGGTCAGGTAATTCTTTGTTGTGGGTGGCTATTCTGTCAGTGCAGGATATTGGGCAGTGTCATTAGACCATAGTAGCACGTGCGCCTCTGCTCGCTCCCCAGTTGTAGCCACCAAAAATGCCATTGCCACGTGGTCCCTGGGAGGGCAGGATCTCCTTGTCAGAACCCTGGTAAAAGAGTTCTGATTTCTTGGTGCAGTTTAGCTGCGGTAGAACTGTTCATGCTGAGTCTTTAATGTTATGCTACTTGCTGGTTACAAATTTTTTAGGCTTAGAGATTAAAATGTGATAGAAGCCGAGCTTCAAAAAGTACATGTGGGAGTTCTTGGAAATGTAAAAAAATAAATTTGTTTTTGGAATATGAAAAAGTAACAGATTAATAGTTGTGAAAAAATTTTAAAGTGATAATAAATTCCAGAAGAGTTTTTGAAATACAAAAAATTGTGTACTTTATGTATTTAATCTATCTATGTAGCAGCAGCTTTAAAAATACTATACACTTGAAGTCTATTCAGGCAAAACACATTTAAATACAGCATACTATTTTAGCTTCTCTGAATTTTGTTGCCCTTTTTGTTTCTTGAGATGGAGTTTCACTCTGTCACCTAGGCTGGAGCGCAATGGCACAATCTCAGCTCACTCCAGTCACCGCCTCCTGGGTTCAAGTGATTCTTCTGCCTCAGCCTCCCTAGTAGCTGGGATTACAGGCTCACGCCACCACTCCCGGCTAATTTTTGTATTTTTGTATAGATGGGGCTCCACCATGTTGGCCAGGCTGGTCTTGAACACCTGACCTCAGGTGATCTGCCTGCCTCGTCCTCCCAAAGTGCTGGGATTACAGGTGTGAGCCACCGCGCCTGGCATAAAATTTTTTATTGTAGATGGAATCTTGTACTGGTGCCCATGCTGGAGTGCAGTGGTGTGATCATAGTTCACTGCAGTCTCAAACTCCTGGGCTCAAGCTGTCCTCTTGCCTCAGCCTCGTAAGTAGCTGAGGTGCATGCCCACCATGCCTGGTTATTTTAAACATTTTTTGTAGTGATGGAGTTCTGCTGTATCGCCCAGGCTGGGCTCAAACTCTAGCCCTTAAGCCATGCTGCCACCTTCCATCCTCCCAAAGTGCTGGGATTACAGGGATGAGCCACCGGGCTGGGCCTCTGTTACCCTTTTTTAGCAGACATTTTAGTCTAATGACTGTTGTGTGCAGTTTTATATTTTTTAGAGTCACTAAACAAAGCAGCAGTTAACTCACTAAATAAGAAAACTTAGCCCCCAAAGTAACCTAGTTTTTAAGATCTTTTAGAAAATCGCACACATGTATTAACTGCTTGATATTGCGAAGAAAGGGGCTGAATACTGGATGATAGTCATCCCTGCTGCCTGCTGTGCCTGTGGCATGGCCATGAGCATACGTTCTCACATTTAGTCTCACAGAGTGAGTGATAGTTTCCCTTCTCTGACGTAGAAGATTGAGGCATGGAGGTAAGTACTTACCTGAGTTGGAGGCCTGTGAGGGTGGACAGTGCCAGAGTGATAGCTGAGTGGCTTCTAACATGTATTATCCCATTTAAATTGTACAGTAACTCTATAGGTATTAAGTTGTCTGTGTTTTACAGAGGAAGAAACGAGCTCAGAGGCAGAGTTGGCTAGCTATCCCAGTTTGCTAAGAACTTGAGCAATTTCTCTGGACTTTAGTGCTAAAAAGGAACCTCTTAGGCAGAGGGGCAGGCTCATCACTCCACTTAAATTTCAGTTTGCCCAGGATGACATGTTGCTTAGCAGTGGTGCAATGCTGTCGTTAGACCTGTACATTGCCCTTTGGGTATCAGGGTGAATAGGGCATCCTGATCCTAGACATCCTTTTTCTGGTGGTAATGTCAACAATAACAACATAAAGATGGTTACCAGAGCAGTTCCTATGTACCAGATGCCATTCTGAATGTTTTGCATGTTAAATTTGATGGTGACAATATATTAATGACGAAGAATGATAGTAGCCCTGGTTGAGTTTGTGAAAACAACAATAAAAGAAATGCGTGCAGTTTTGCTGTTTAGATTCTCTGTTGAATGTTCATGAACTAAGCAACAAAACTTCCATCTATGAAGTATTGCTGGAAATTTTTTCTTTTTTTTTTTGAGACGGAGTTTCACTCTTGTTACCCAGGCTGGAGTGCAATGGCGTGACCTCGGCTCACCGCCACCTCCGCCTCCTGGGTTCAGGCAATTCTCCTGCCTCAGCCTCCTGAGTAGCTGGGATTACAGGCACGCACCACCATGCCCAGCTAATTTTTTGTATTTTTAGTAGAGACGGGGTTTCACCATGTTGACCAGGATGGTCTCGATCTCTTGACCTCGTGATCCACCCGCCTCGGCCTCCCAAAGTGCTGGGATTACAGGCTTGAGCCACCGCGCCCGGCCGTGAAATTTTTTTAAGCTTTCAAAACTTGAGCTGAATTTCTCTTATGGTTGTTATATGTGCAATTTCTTCAAGCTAATTCCTTTTCACAGGTGGTGAAAGTAAATGTTAAATGTTTTTGATTGTAAAGGTTTACTGTGCAGCACACCTCCTAACTTAGGCTTTTGCGATTAGGCTTTCTATTATGCAGATACTACGTCACAGCTTTAGAATTCTGATTTTTTGATCTTTTGTCCTAATTACTTAGTCTTTAATATTAACTTTATCACTTTGGCAATATAGAGGTTAAGTAGGGAAGCTATTTTCATATTTTGTGAATGTGCTGTAAGAACACACTGCTTAGAACAATACCCAGCAAACACTTAATTTTCTTTCAGATCCTAAACTCAGGAGTTTCTTAATTTATGATCAATGAAAAGTGTGAATATGTGACCCAGAAGGTTGGAAAAATGTTAAAGTCTAGAATATTATCAAATTTTTCATAATATACAGCTAAAATGATAATTTACACTACCAACCTCAAAGACCTATGCTTATATGGGGACTGCTGTCCAGGAGGCCACCTTACAGATTCAACGCCAGAGCCCATGGTGTCTGAAAGGGATTTTTAAGCTCATCATAGTGTCAAGTTCAAAGTGAATATTAATACCAGTCATTCACACAAATGATTCAGATGTGCATTTTGAGAGAAAAATATATGTAACGCTGCTAAACAGTAGCTAGTGGTGTTCTTCATGGCCTTTTAAATAATGTGCTTCGGACCCACTTACCTTCATGTTGCTCGTAAGATCACCAGCAACATGATTTCTTTTTTTAGCATGCCCATCTCTGAACTAAACGTTACTTTTTTTAAAAAAGAAAATACATAGGGAAGCTTTTCAGAAGGGAAGCTTTCCAATAAGAATTTAAGATATTTCAAGTCTAAACTAAACGGCAGTCACACAGACATGTTTGCTGTGTACAAACTAAGATTGTGAGGTCATACTTTCAAATACAAATTCAGAATTAATTGCAGTGAATCAAGGTATTTTTTTCAGAAATCGTGCACTTCCTACAGTTTTGAACCCATGATAGGGAAAGTTTAATGTTAAATACTTTGCCATTCACCTAAAAGTACACTAGGAAAAATAGAATATTAGCAATGAATCATAGGCTTTAATGGTTCAGCGGTTTTTCTGAAGGTAATCTTTCTGTGTTAGATGTATGTATATCTTGAAAGGTAGAGCCATAAAATTCATAAAAACATCCTGTGAGAGTCACAGATCCTGTTCACTCGTTGCACTTCCTGGCCTTCTACCAGGCAGCTTGTTTAGAATGGGAAGACTGAAGATAGAGAAAAACCATACAAGACAGTTTGCTGAAAAGAAAAACAATTCACACTTCAGACATCACAATATATATAAATAGGATCTCAAATTTGGACTCTCATAAGCTACAAATAAATGCTCTAAAGAGTGCCTGTGCAGGCCCAGATTGGAGGTCTCATTACAAGGAAAGTGATCTTCGATCCTGTAAAGGATGGGAGATTCATCCACCATTTATATTATCTCGTGGAAAACCACTTCTGAAAATAACTGGGAATTTATAAGAGCTAATTTTAAAGAGATTAGGCATTTCTTAGGGAAGATTATTTTTGGTTACTAAAGCATTTTTATAGGTTTTATATGTGCTTTCAAATGATTAGGTGTATCAATAAGACTACACGAAAGGAGAGGACGGAATTGAAGGTGAGGGGAAGGATTTTTGGAACACGCTTGGGAATCCCAAGTTTAGCCCCGCTGTGTCCCCTGCTCCCATTCCAGCCCCTTTGGGATGAAGCAGCTCGGGCGTCTAATTATGTTAGTTCTGAGGCTGGCACTCTTCTGGTGATGTCTCACATGTTGTTAGAAAATTGATAACCTCATTCCAGAACTGCACATTGCATTTACAGTGGTTCTCTGTGCCCCCATTTCCTAGTCACAAACTATTTCACTTCTTTGTTTTTTATTCATAGGTGTTAGTAGTGATCATCTTTGTCTAATAAGCTCCTAATTTAGAAGTGAGCAGAATACATATATGTCAGCACCCAGTGCTGCACATTTTTTAGCCATTTCCTAGCTATTTATAGCATCAGGTTTTTTTTTTTTTTTTTTGCTTTGATATGATATTCCATGTTTAATTGGTTTGATGAAAGAAGGTAAAAGTTGAGGTACTAAAAA